CCCCAAAACCCCAAAACCCCTATAGAGTAGATTTATTTTAATATCGATGAATAAATAATAATTATCAATAGCTTTTATCTTTGTTTGAAGATAGATTACTTTCTGTTTCTTCTTTAATAACATCTGAAAATGATGTGAAGCTACTATTTGAATATGATTAATCATCTCCTGCTGATTATTAAATAGAATACTCCATAGATTAGTCCACAATAGATATTCTTTATGAATAATTTGACTTTATGTTGCTGATTGCATCTTATTGGTCGAAATGATTCTTATCAGGAGTCGAAAATATACTCTAATTATCCATTGCATGACTCGTACTAGGGTTATTCATCCTATTGAGGAAATCTTTATTATTTTAGCTTTGACCTAAATCATACTCTCCAAATTCACTTTCCTCAACAACTGGGAATAAGCTAGTTTTCTCAGATGTTATTGTATTACTTGACTTTTTAATATCTGGATGCTGCTAAATATTTATTCTAATTACATCCTTTTCTTGTTTTCTCTTTTTCTCCATTTTTTTGAATTCTCTCTCAAGTTTAAACAGCTTCACTATCTTATTCTTTGTCTAAAGTGAGTATTGCAATAATTCTTTACTCAGATCTTAGGTTTCTGAAGCCTAGGAATTCAACTGATGAATTCTTGCTTTATTTCTAGTATCATAATAAGTAAACAACTGATCTGATTTTTAATTTTGAAATGAAACCATAGCCATCTAAACTTTAACAAAGTTGATCATCTTAATCTTATGAAAGTTCTCATTAGTTAATTTTGAAGGTAGAGCGGAGAGGCATAGTTTCAGATTAACTTGATTATGACCTTGATACTTTGATACAAAAATGAATCTATTCAAAAAGTTTTCAATGATTCCCATTAAAGATTCATCAACAGCAGTAATATTTTTAAGATATTGACTCTCATCTTCAATATCCTAAAATGTATTGAGCTAACCACTGCTTAAACCAAGATTTTTGCTCATAAAATTCGAGCCATTTTTTCTTTTTTGAGTGAATCCTATCTAGCTTTTAGCAATACTCACTCTTTTGCTTCCATGTGATATCCTTTTTGAGAAATCTCTTAGATATTTGTTAACTTAGGTAGTTTGTCTTCTTGCCAACATTCCTTGATTAGCCATTCTAGTGGAACTTTTTCTTTTTTATACATTGTGATCTATAACTTGTTAGAGAAGCCTATTACCCATATTCAAAGATGGACTCTGCTTAAAATTTAGCCCTTATGTTATATTTGATTACATTCTGCTTGGTGTTAAGAAAAGAGTTGACTTCCTTCCTTGTGATGCACTTGATTTTTTGGGGTTATTATTACTAAATCTCTTAGCTCTTGAAGCCTAAATTCTTTGCTTTCTAAGTTTTAGCCATGTCATTATAACTAAATCCTTATCAATTGTAAAAGATGTATCCAGTTTCTATGGATTGAGCACCTCCTTTTTCAATTCAGATAACCTTTTAACTAGATCTTCCTTATTCTTAAAAAGATTAAGCATTTATCTATTTAACCCGCTCGATTGTTTTCTTTGACGTACAGTCTTTTGATCTCCTTAAATCTAATCAAAAAGTTTTCTCATGCTATCAATTACTTCATTTAGAATACTGATCTGTAGGTTTTTAATATGCTTATCTCTTTGCTTCTTTAATTTTTCTTTTTCAAGTTTTTATTTGTCTTTTTATCGTTTTAAGATTCTAAATAGATTAAAGCAGTCGTAAAAAGCTAAATGTATAATTATAGGGAGTCCAACAAATAGCCAGAGCATCGCGAACCATATTGCCTTTCTTTTTTGCATAATTTTAATATTGAAAATTATCAGAATTTTAAAGTACACTACCAAACCGCAAATTAGCTCAGCACTGAAAAACGCAATTAAAAAGGTGATATTTTCAAGCCAATAGTAAATATAGCCAGTGAATTTCAGAATTTTGATTCTCCAGCTAAACTTTAAAAGCATTGGAAATCCTAACAATCCTATATAAAAGCCAATTAAATTTTAAGGGCAAGGATGCATTGATAATTCGCATAAAGAATTTTCAGTTCTATCCTTTGCTTAGATATCATAATGCTTTTTTGATACAAACATGTCCTAAAATCTTTTGTAAAACCAATATCTCATTCTAATGTAAGTGTATTCTCCTTAAATTATCATATATTAGTATATAGTAGTCAGTACAGCAACTAGATAATTTAGCATAAAAATTCTTGTGATAATCTGATGTATAATGAACATTATGTCATAGGATCTTTCATACGGACCAAAGTTTCTAAACTCATAATTTGATTGCATAGAATCAAACAGGGTCCTAGCTGATATAAAGAATGATCCATACATATCTTCAGCCACGTTGCCAAATCTCATATTGAATATACTGGCTGCTATAATCATGTAGCATACAAACATAAAGAAGAAAGACATAGTATTAAATATCATGGTAACCAGAGTAATCAGTAGTTTACTTACTTTTTTGATTATCAAAAAGTAAGCGAAAAACCTTATCCAAGTGACAGTGACCACGGCACAAACATAGAAGTCTAAATTTTGTTTCTTCAATCGATCAAGGATATTTCTAGGAGTCACAAATCCAGTGATGTAGAGGCAAAATGTGTTGCATACTGCAGTTATTAAATCTATTATAGTCCAAAGATCTAAATTGAAACCCTTTTTAGTGAATAATGAAAATGCTATCTTTTGCGAGAAATGAATGAGAAGAGTAAAGCAAAGAAGAAGTCCAAATGTTGACCAGGAACTGTATTAATTGATAAGACTCTCTACATTTTCAATCAGCTCAGGATCATTTTCTTCATAGACATCTTTCCTCTTCAATCCATTTATTTCAATATTTCTCAGTTTAAAGTAATTTAGATAAGAATATCCGATATATTAGAAAACTACTACATGGAAAACAGAAAATACTAACTCCTTCCAGAAGAGAAACTAAATAGATTTGTGACGATAATTATACTGAAACCAGTAATTTTCTTCAATTACTTTAGGCTTAACAAAACTCCCAAATAAAATATCCTTAAATCTCAACTTATTTGAAATAGTTCTTCTTCCATAATTGTCATAGATAAACGAAATATTGCTGTAGTCAAAAGGATCTAATAACCTTGAGTACAAACAAGAAAAATCTTGAAGCTTTCCGTTGCACTTGACGTTTTCTTTTCCTATCCAGAGTTCATCCATTATTGAATTAACTTTGGGGCTGCTAATCATCTGGCATAAGTTTAGGTCGTTGATTATTTATAAAGCAGACTTTTTACGATGATCCAACTCAGTTAGCATTTTTTCTAATACACTTTAGTCGTCCTAGTTTTCTATTAATTTCTTTACAAGTTAAATCAATTTTTGCTAGGTTTAAATGCAGTTGTTTTTTAAATAAGAATGTACTTGATAGAGTTTAGTTATGATCTCGCAGACTAACGCTATAGCAAGGATTGGATTATGAACTGCAGTAATCAAGTTTTTTTCATACTCATGAGTAATGATTTATGAAAAAGCCTACAATAGTTTACAGCTTAATTTAAAGCTTACCTGCATCAAATTATTTATTTGGTGAAAATTCCATTCTCTAAGATTGCAATAGTTAATCAATGTAAAGCAATAAAATATTTTCCCTTGCTTTCTATAAAAATTTTAATACTTAGGATTGGATAGCATACGCTAGATTTTTATTAATGAAATTTATTATCTTTGTGTCATTTAATGATTTTGTCAAAGAATGATTTAGTTATAGACTTTTATACACAAATTTCTCTTTATATCTCAGAACTGCATCTTTAAATAAATCCTCATTTAGAAGCGTGATATCTTTCGAGATGCATTAACTAATATATTTGATTAAAATTAATAGATTATATTAATACCAAGCTAAAAGTTCAAGGTCAAAAGACAAAAGCGTTTGAATTTAATTTCCCCGAAGAGATTCTGGAATATTCCATTGTAAGTTAATTTCTATGAGCAATTCATCAATGATTTCAATTTATTAAAGTACCGACTTTTCTCTTGTAATAATTGAGTTTACTCTTTCATCACTAATAATATGATCCATACATTCCTGCTTAAATTGTAGAATGATTTAAATCAATACCTTCAGATTTATAGTCATATGGAATTTCTGAACGACTGAAAGTGATTCAGCCATCTATAGTTTTTCCTACTCAACTCTAAATTTATCAGTATGAAACAAAAGCTTAATAAATGTCATATTTTTCACAGTTAATGCTCTCTATACTGCAGGATAAGTAACATTTACTTTGTAGTAAATAGCTAAAACTGTAGCCATCCAATTTTCCTCATCGTTAAGTGCTATGTTTAAAATCTGATTACAAATGTTACTTCCTGCTGAAGACATCAAGAGTATCTTAATTTCTTTTATATTAATGTCAAGTTTTAATTTTTTACGCTATTTCATCTTCTCCTTTGCTTCTCTTTCTTCTTGGTCTGACATAAAAGGGGAAATCTCTTCAGATTGAGTCTAGTTTTGACTTCTCATAAATTCTGCCTTTGACTTTAAAATTTCCTTAATATCTAGAGGCAAGAAATCGAAATTTATTGGAATTCTTGCTCGCTATTTCATGAACTGTGGAACTTTTTACTCCACCAAATGATCAATTCCTACAAAAGCCTAATCATTAATCAAATCGATTTCCCTTTGATTTTCTTTTAAGATATACAATTCATCATTCTATATTTCTTGCATTACTCTAACTTTTTAATCAGCAGCTTGCTTGTATAATTACTAAATAATCTACTATATCAAATCATATCTGTCAAATAAGAATTTCAATACAGTATCTTTTTATTAATGCACAGATAGCCAAAAGCATAGCAAAAGCCTTTATTAACTCTTTTCCTCAGGAAAAATCACGAAATGTCTAAATTTTTTGTGGATTTTCATCAACTCCAGTTTCATAACGTGTTGATAAAGATGATGTTTAATCTTAGATTCGGGAATTTGATTCAGGCTTCGATCTGCTAGATTATCACTTCGACTTAAGCTTGATTCCACAAGAGATCCTACAAGAGCTGATTTTTTTAGTTGCGGCTTAGGCTGAATATCTTTGTTGTATTCCATACTGCTTATCTTAAAGTAAATTGATTCAAGCTCTTCAGTTGTGAAAAATTTTAACTATACTTCGGTAAGACTTGGTATTGTTTGCTCATTTACGAATCTTAGTTCCTCTGTTTTGTGAGATCTTTATGATGGTGTTGCATTATCTAATCTTGTTACAATTAGGTCTCTGTGATTAATAACTGACTGTGTCTCTCTCTTTTACTTCATTTGAATAATTATTATATATTTTTAATAAAATATACTAAATGATAAAAATCCTTAAATTTGCACATTCTTCTTATTGGGGTTTTGGGGTTTTGGGG